TGGGAATTAATATTCAGCGACGACAACGAGAAAGGCTCCTGTCCTCTTGTTTATCACGGTGATCGCAACTTCGACGACACCCGTTACTGTTCCGCTCTTATGAATTCCTGGCGTAGGCCAGTGCAGCTACACGTTTAATTGGGACTATCGTAGTAAATACGTCAAGATGGGAGCTGGCTATCTGTTGTGACTGCTTTTCCCTTGAAGTGCCGTAACATCTGGCGCTCTGCCCAAACACGTCAAGGCGTCTGTGGGATGCTGCGAGATCGTCTTACGTCTGCTGGTTGTCTTGTCTTAAATTTGTTTAACGTGGAATTCAAGTAAAGTCCTGATAACCTATCTGTCGTCTCATGAGATTTCATCTCGCGGGCCGATAACGTGGGAACGCGATAGTTCCTAATTCTTAATGAATTAATTGCCTTTAGGAATTTTCATGACACCCGGCGCAGCCAACTTTGCGCGAACGAGAATATTCAATGTGAGACTACCGTTTGGCCTTATTTATCCTCGATCCCGGAGAAAATGGACTTTGTCGGTTGGCAAGCGTGACTCTAGATAATGCTCGTACCGAATGACGTAACGAGACTTCCTGCGTATCGTGTGATATTGCAGTCGGGAAAACTTCCGCGGCTTTGGCGTTCGGTCGTTCCGATTCCTTTGTTTTCTGCCTGTCACGCTCTTTGGTATACAGGCTGTGTATGCGCTAATAGGGTCGTTAAATTGTAAATCAGGAACTTCGTATTTTCACGGTGACACGATAAAATAACGATTATCAGCACGACTCGACGATTCGGTGCTAATAAATATACCAAGTGACAAAAGACAAACAAAAATATTATAAACACTTGACAGCCACTCCGAAACCTGTTTTCGAGTCGATATTTTATTTCGAATTCTTCCTCGCGTTAAACAATACATAAAAGTAGCCCCTACGAAAGGATACGAAAAACAAAAACACACCCGGTAGATTTAATCCCAGCGTAAGTCTTCTGTGTACCAACAATTTTGATTTACTGCCGGTACTTTTGACAGATTTAAAACCGGCACGCGCTTACAACCCGTGGGGTCTTTTCGAGGAAAAATAGATTACGAAGTTTTACGAGCTTTTCATTAAAAGCCCAGTTAATCATTGACGTCCTCGAGATTCGCGAATTTATCGCGAATTTATTATCAGACACCGTCTGACGTCATTTTCATTTTCAAATTAATTTCCTCAATTCGAATCATCGATCGGACCTCGAAGTATCCGCGCAGCCAGCCATACAATTTCTCTGGGTAATTTTCATTGGCGGAGATAATGAAAAAAAAAAGAAAAAAAAAAAAATATTTGTCTCAACTCACCACAAGCATATCTGGATTACACAGCTTTTGAATACACAGACTGGCGCCTCTGGTGCAATCATCACACACTCGTTTTCAAAGACGGCTGAAGTTCGCAAACTTGACGACCTTGTCCCAGCATCGAATGACATCTCCCCCCCCAATTAAAAACGTTCCCCTATTCATCATCCATGACAATCTTAATTAGTACAATTGCCATTATGTCCCCAGTACAGAAAGCCATTACCATCGCACCTGGTAAAACGTTAGTAAGTCAGATCCAACAAGAGGAGCAGATGGCAGTGCAACGTCAACGCTGCGTCAATAGCAACGATGAATTATCATCAGGCTATTGTCGATTGTATAACGCGAATTTGCGTCAGGCTTTATTGACGAACTGACAGTTGTCATTTGGATCGAGCAAACATATTTTCAGCGTCATAACACGTGGTCTCGTCCACCGTTTCGTAAATCCTATTAAATCATATGAAATATGAATAACAAAAAAATTTTCGATACAAAAATAATTAATCGACCCCTCCCCCCCCCCCC